ATTGGCCTGCTTGATATTACATCTTTAGGACCTTATTTGGTTATGTGCTAACAGGTATCCAGGAACGTCACACGCTGGAAATCCTAGTCCTCAGCTGCAAGTTGAGGAGTTGCCTCCATGTATTTGTCCCAGAAGAGCTTGTTGCTGTTTTCTGCAGTGAACCCTATTTCCCAATGTAACTTCTCAAGCTGCTGCCTTTTTGGGCTGCAGCCATCTTTCCTAGACTGCTGCCTTGGAAAGGTCAGAGGTTGCAATAGGATTGCACTGACCTTGCTGAGCATCACGAGGTTATTGAGCAGTTGAACCTGACCTGGCTCTGTCCGTGGTTTTACCCTGAGACTGACTGGGAAGGATTTAGGATATGAGTGGTTAGCAGGGTGCATTCAAAGCTATTAGGTAGCTGTCAGATGACCAGATTTAAAAGGGGCATGCAATAGGATTCTAAGTTTACCCAGTTCTTAGGGCCAAGGGATGACTCTGTCTTTTGAACCCCATAATCTCAGGCTTTCCTTAGCATTCACTGGCATGATTTTCAGGTGTTTTGTGCCTCCATATCAAATAAGGATGTTGGGCCAGATATTGTGGGAATGGGCTTCATTGCTGATGTGGTTTGAAGCTGTAGATTTACTAGTTTGTACTCCTTAATTTGAAAACTGTTTTGGACAGGTGCTTTGTTCACAGTGTATCTGTACATGCATAGTACATTAGCATCAGTTTTCTTGTTTACAAATAATCTGTTACCTCATTAGTCCTGAACAGCACAGCTTGAAGCTGTCTTCATCACCTCAAAAACATCTTGCTACTAAGTTGATAAACCATCCTTCCCTTTGTGTGACATGAATGTTAAAATGTTGTAAACAAGTATCCAAAGGATCAACAACAATTTTTCATGCCGGATATATTTATTTGTCTTGTAATATTCCTTTTATGTCAACTGCAATAATTCGCTGTGCTTAAAGCATAAATATTTTTTCATGTGCATTTGTCTGAAGTGACAGCAAGTTGCCAGAGATGTTATCAGACACAACATATGAGGATGAGTAATACCATTGCATTATGACTGCAGCTATTAAAAAGGCAGGGAAAAAATATTATTAGAAGCTGAATGTTATTGGTAAGTTTCTCACACAGTGTGAGTGTTTAGGGGGAATGTGGAAAATAAAGTATTTGCATTTAGACCAGCAGTGTCTGGAACACCACAGAGCAGTATCAGCTGGTAGGGTTTCTGTCATATAGCTCAAACATGAGTGTATTTGGTGCAAAATACTGAATGCTGTTCCCTCTGCAAACCCATGCTTTTGCGTGATGATGATGAATGAGCTCAAGACCCCAGAAGTGCGAAGTGCCTGGATCTCTGGCTGAATATCTAGTTACAATGTGATTATTTTAACTGCATCTCTTTAATATCAGCGATGCACTGTGCAGCCAGAGACCAATTTAAAACCCATAGCAAAAGACTGCTGAAATGACTCATTGGTGAAGATCTTTGTGATAAGTAAGTAGACCCTTCAGAGTCCTGAGCAGTAGCATGTGACACTGGCAGCATGTACCATGAAGGGGGCCTTTCATCTCAGCTTATGTCCCTTGGTATCTAAATAGCAGAAGGAGTTTGGTGGAAACTACAGTGCTTCTTCTAGCTATTCACCTGGGAGGATCCCAGGAGTCTTATTAGAGCTGCAAGCCAACAGGAGAAAATAAAGCAAGGAAATTATCTCTGGAACCTTAGAGCCTTATGGGTCTACAAATGGTCTCAAAGCATGCCACATGGATCCCCACTGAAAGGAAACACAAGTGAATATGTAGATTCTGATTTTGCTCAGAAAGTCCATTGGTCCGAAATAGAATGTTCTTGTATCCCTTCGCATGGATATGGAATCGATCTCCACGTGATATTTTAACTCTTTCTAAGTAACAGTGTCTCATCTGATCCTGGAAATGGTCATATTGATCCTGTGGGAGGCCATTACATGAAACAGTGGCAAGCAGTGACTGAGAGGTTGTGCTTTTGAGGGAAATGAGAAGCACAGGGATTTGTGTTCAAAATGTATAATTTTTCACATTAGGTACGTTAATTATTCCTTCGTGGGTGCCATAGTTTAATCTCAGAATCTTCAAATTCTACTGTATAAGAAAGTATGTGTGGTTTCATAGCAAGTATCCCTCATTGCAACTTTGGAAACCGTTCCCATAACACCAGAGCTAAAGGCAGCTCTGACAGTTCTTTGCTTGACACTTAAGAACAGCAGTAAGAGCAAAAAGGGAACACTGCAAAAGACAGGAAAGTCACCCATAAGATAGCTGAGCTTTCAAAAACAAGAACAAAGTTCTGTTTATTCTCTCCTTTTTAAAAATAAAGTAAATCTATATATTAAAAATATAATCTGTCATAGCTCTAGTAGGTGATCTCCCCAGAAGTATGCACTAGAGGACATTTCTGACAAGACTGTGTGCTGGTGGTGAGGCCAGCAGAGTGTAAGAGCCATGTCCTTCATAATGAATTCCTAGGCACTGCTTCACACCCATGCAGTGTGGGGCTGTTCCTCCCAGTATCCTGGGACAGTGTGCAGGGGTAACCCCACCATGGCAAAATTAGTAATATAAATTAGTAGGTAGAACCAGCCACGTGATGAGTAGTAAGCTACAGTTGCAAAGTGTGAGCCCTGTAAATAGAGTAGAAATAGAAAAGTCAAAACAAAGGAGGTTCATGACTATCTCTTAAATTTGCTGTAGCAGCTACCCTAGTCTACCACTGGACTTCATAGATGTTTCAAACCTGACCTTAAGTCAGAGCATAAGAGGAACTACCCTTGGCAGCTCTCTTGATTTAGAACCACTGCAAGAAAAGAAGGAATGAGAGCTGCCTTTGTTTGTTATTTTTAAAATCTGACTCCCTGTTGCAAGGCAGTAAGATGAGCAAATGGTTCTTGCACCTGGCAAGTTACCATCAGCAATTATTGCAATGCTTAGTGTTTTTCTGCCACGAGTAGAAATCTCTGCTCCCTTTCATGTCAGAGATTTCATTGTTCTTATGGGGATGCTACAATTAAAGTCACAAGATTTACTGCTCTAATTCTCTTTTGTTTGCAACAGAAGGGAGAGTCGGGGAAGGATGATACATGTGGCTGAGTTTTGATTTTTTTTATTATTATTTATTTATTTTATTTTACTACCCAACAAATATATTGTGTGTATATAACTGACAAAAAGTCATCAAACCATTCTGCTAGTAACTGGATTAACAACTGTTATTCTACAAAAAGGAATCTAGTTAGTAAAACAAACCAAAAAAAAAGCTGTGATTGCATTTCACTTCTCTCTGTTTACAAACCTTGGCATCTAAGCAGGCTGTACCTTATGTATTTCTTCATGTTTCTTTCACTATAGATATTTTCTAGGTTTAGATATGTCATTAATGTGGTGCCAATGTCAAGAACACTGTTTTTGACAAATATGTTAAAAATACTGCTTATGAGAAATGTGTTTATGGGAGGCAAACACAGTGGCTGACAGGAGTCCAGGCTTCATTTTTAGCCCTTCCATTATTGCCCTGTGTGTGACCTGAGAGGAATTGCCAAATCAGACTTTTTCAAAGGGGCCATCTGTGAACACAAGTGCAGTTCCCCTGTTCTGAACTGGCATCTGACAGTGAGCCATTCAAATCTGAGCTCTTGACGCTCAGTTCAGTAGAGAGGAAGAAGAACAACTAAATAAGGACAATTCACCAGATCCATCGTAGGAGGTGAACTGGTGCAGGTGCTCAGAGTGGTTGGTTTGCACCTGATGATCCACAGCTTGGACACTGAGGTGAAGGCAAGCCAGACTCATTTCTGGCTCAGTCTCTCAATAGGATTTTTTAGACACCTTGCATTTCACCTGAGCCACGCTTAGTGATGTAGAAGATCATTCCTCTGAAACTTCAACCTTAGCATTTTCAAAACCAGGTTGCTGCTCTGGCTAAAATTAATGCACATTTAGAAATAGGTTTAAATTACAACACTGTTGGGCCTTAATTTCTCTCTCAACGAAATTAAACTCTTTGTCAGACCTGCATGTTTTAAGTATTAACAGACAGGCTTTATTAATGGATGTTCCAGGTAATTGAGACAATAAGATTTCATTATCTGACCCGTCTTGCTAGAATTTGTGGAATATCACACTCTTCCTTGCTTCAAGGGTTGGTCCATTTCATTTACCAGCTACAGACCTCAGTGTGTTTCCTCTGTGGACAAATTGGTAAATTAGTCAGCTGCCAAAAGGGAGTAATTTGACTTACCTGAAATGAGCAGCAGTGGGATGAAAACACATTACCTCTGTCCCACTGGATAAGCCTCAGATTGTATTGAAATAGAATTAGGCCAAGGGAGTCAATGTACTGGATAATAATGAAATGTTTAATGTGAATTAGCTGCATATAAAATTAATACATTAGAATGAATTGCTGAAGAAAGGAAACTATGTCAGGCCTTTATCCTGAATCTATAATATTAGACTTCAAAATGGTGCACTCTTCTATTTATAGAAGAACAAAAGTAAAGGTATTGAACTTGTGTTCTTTATTTAGAGGAGAGAAATAGATGTAAATAATTATCTATGTATCTATCTATCAGAGCACTCAAATCAGGATGCCACTGAACCAAGGCTAATATGTTTGGGTCTGGACCAGACCTGAGAGGTTACAGACAAAAATCTAAACCTAAAACTCATTCCTTATCTGCCTGGGCTTTTTTTTCTGGGCATTAAATGTAAAAGTAATATTTGTTCTGGGCCATTCAAAGGTGAGTTGAAATGTTGTCTCAGTCTTAAAAGGCTTAATATAAAATGGGCAAACTTTCCAAACTAATTGGCAAATATCATCTTTGCCTGTGAGGTATGGAAGAGGTGCAGAATGAGCTGTGGCATGAAAATTACAACTATCCATCTGCCCCCTGGGTGGGTTTTGCTTTTGGTTTGTTCTTTGTTTATTTATTTTCAAAGCTTTCTTGTTGCCTTCTCTGTTCTAGGTTCATTTCTTTTTCTCAATGCATCAGAGAGGCCGAGCCCCATCATCCTGAGCCCTTGGCTGAGAAGCAGCAGTGATCAATGTGTAGTTCAAGTGGCTGTGTATAAGTTTTACCAGCAGAGTGGAGAATATATTGCTCGTGTCCATCCCATTGATGAAAACAGCAGTGAAATCTTATCAGTGAAGAGTCCAGAGAAACATGGGTAAGTCTCATCCTCTCATTTGACTCACAGCTTGAATTGAGAAAAATCACTCGACCTAGCAGTATAGTCACAAAATGCATGCTGCACATCTAAGGGGAGCAGGGCACCACAGAGAGTAGCTGTTTGTCTTCCATGGGTCTAAAATATCATAGAAGCTGGAGATTGATGCTTATTTTATTACACAGAGCATCAGCAAACTTCTGGATCCATGCAACTGAGTTTCTAAGCGAACATCACATTTATTCTCTGTGCTTGGAGGTGCAGATGTAGTTTGGATACTCATCCTAAATTTAAAGCTTTTCTGTCTAATTCACTCTGTCTGATTTCTTTTTACTAATTCTTTACCCATGTAAACTATTTGGCTTAGAATATATACTGAGTCTTTGCAGTTTCACATGTCTACATACGTTTTCAGTTTTGCTTTGCATTTGTGTTTTTCGTCAATAAAGCAGTTCAGAACTACTGGCAGAGGAGTAAAGCTTTTGATCTTTCAAGGGTGCAACTGTTTGAAATGTTTTATTCTTTTTGTGCAATTAATCTTGATGATGTTTTAATTTGTCAGACTTCCTGTGTATTCTTTTAAATTTTTGCTAGCAGCAGAACAGCAGGAGCTGAACACAGTAAATATTTCAAGATGCCGTGGTAGTAGAGTAACTGAGAATTTAATTTGGATATATGTGAGGCTAATGCCCTACCTGCTCTATATACTGATTTATTTTTATTTTTATTTTTTACCTTTGTTGTGAAATGTGTTAAGAAGCATAATTTTTAGCAAACATCTCAAATTTTCTTTGTTTTGATCTGATAGATTAGAGAGTCTCTAATAGCAAGTCTTGCTGGCTCGTGCTCGTAACAAGATGTGATTATCTGATTACTGTCTACAGCAAATTCTGTATTTTCCAGTAGCAAAAGGAGAATGTGCAATAAAAAACCTTGCAGGAGATAACCTAACTCATAGAAACAGTTTGAATAGTTGTAATTCTCATATAACACATGGCCTATAAAAGTGAGGAGGAGAGCTTGTGTGTGGATCTAGATCATACTTAGTTCCAGCAACATCATCCAAATTGTAAATTGCTGTTGATGTCTGGGGAGAGGCAATTAGAGGAGCTGCAGCAGCTGTCTTCTTCCTTAGCTCTTTGCAAATGCTGTGCTCTATGTCACAGCTAATAAACATGCTTTGTGCAAAGTGCCTCCTGTGTTGGCACTGCCACTGTTCCTTGGCACTCGCGGGGAATATTGCTGTGTGCCAAATGCTTTGGTCTGCTACGTGGAGGAGCTCCAGCTCGGATCTGTGGGTGGGCAGAACTCACCAGGAGCACAGGGAAGTGTCAAATATAAGGAGCCTTGAAGGGAAGGGAAAGATCACTCTAAATACAATAACAAATTCCTACCTTTGCCATCTGCTGGAGATGACACAGACTCCTCAGCTGGGTGTTGCAGATGGAGATTGTCACCACAGGAAAGAGCGTTGGTACTTTTACAGAAGGTGGTTTTGGTTATAGCTTGGCTGTCCCATGTGCTTGCCAGAAGTGCAGCTTGCTCCCCAGCAGCATCACTGAGGTGTGTAGGGTGGTAAGGGTGTGCCTGTGGCTTTCGTGGTTTTGCATGTCTGGCTCCTTGGTATTCCCTTGCTGTAAAACTTTGCAGTTGGAGCAACTGGCTGGTCCATTTTTTTCCCCCTCCTTGGGGCCTATCCCTTCATTGTGAGAGGCAGTAGTTCTTCCCCCAGTTCACAAGGCAGAAAAACTCTGATGCTATGCCCATGTAAATATCATATGGGGATAGTTAATTAACTACCCACAGACTACAGACACAGATGATAGGGTGGCAATTTGTCACCATTTGCCCTGAATCTTCATTCTAGAATTTGAGTGCTCTTCTGCCCTTTGTTTGAAGGGATAATATTCATTATTCCAGCTTTGATAACACAACACATCAGTCTCGCTTTTGTAAAAATCTTCTTTTCTTTAAATAGGAATTCAGAATAGCTGATCAAAAGTCAAGAATAATTCTATAAAGTTCTTAAAAGAACTAGCAGTCCTACAGTTGAAATCTGTTCTGTTTGATATTTTACTTTGTCTTGGAAATTGCAAACAACTGTATTTTTTTATAATGAATTCTTTGACCATGCTATAACCAAACAGTTTCTAAAATTTTATAAGGATTTTATCTCTAGGCACAAGGTAATTGAATTGCTCAATGGGCCTGCACTAGAAATAAAAGCACTTTAAAGTTTCACAGCTGACACTTTTTTGATTCCATATGCTTCATATATTGTTTTGCAAACAAGAGGTGTAAAGTGTGTGTAGTTCCCAGCAACTGGCATCTGCAGTAGTGAGTCCATGATATGACTTAAAGTCATAGAAGGAGGAGTGTGTTTTATTGAAACAAATGCACCTGAAGGATGATAAAGCAATAAGTTAATTCCAGGGTGGATTTTGTCATATCTTGAACTATGCACAGCGTCAATATCTTCTTTACACTTTTTTTTTCTTTTTCATTCTTTTTAATCTCCATAGCCCGAATTACATATATTAAGATCTTACAAGGTCTTCACAGTTCACCTACATTTACAAGAGAAAAAAGTAGATGCTGTCAGGTGTTACTGTTTCATTCAGGGTGAAACCAGGCAAGTAAAGGTTTTGGTTGGCAGCACTCAAAGCTGATTTTAAGTAGAATATATGTAAAGCTGTGAAATTGTACTAGGTAGAGACAGCATAGCACCCAGTATTTATTTGTTACCAGAGTTCATCGGTGTTGTCTTTGTGTGTAAATTATCAGGTGTGATTATGCATAAAGACTCAAAGCAAAACTGGTGGGGTTCTGTTTGTTCCTCTCTGTCTGTCTCATTTTCTAAAGAAAAATAGCACAAGCCTGTGGACTAGATTTGTACCAGTTCCTTAATGAGCCAGAGTCATTACAGAAATTGATGTGTGGAAGACACTTATTTGTTTTATTTTCTTACTTGATGTATTTCAATGCAACTGATCTATTGCATGCAGGAAGAAAGCTGCCTAATTTAAGATGCATCACATTGCAGTAGGGTGGGGCAGATAGGACAGACACCAGGAAGAGTATGGCAGAAGTGATGGTTGCAAATGGTTCCTGAGTGATGAAAAACACCAGAGGCTGGCGAAGGGATACTTGTTTTGTGTTATACAAAAAGTCTACCAAATACAATCATAACTGTTACACATAATATATTTGCACAATCCCTATCACTCAGAAGGTAACTATATCCTTGTTTATCAGTTCAACAGAATTGTATACTTTTTTCTTTTTTTTTAACAAGCAGGTAGATCTTATTCCACATTTATGTGTGGGTCTGGAACACCTTTGGTTAAACCTTCTTTAAATTAGTTCCTAAGCAATCAGTAGCACTCCTCTATGGGGAACAACACATTGCTGTGTTCTGTTAGAATGAGATTTGTTGCATGATAGTGTTTCTAGATTATCTGACTCTGTGGATGTGTTTTTGATATGGTTAGTCTGTTCTGACATCTTTTGCAATTCTATTGGGTTTTGCAAGCACCTGCAGATGATACAGGGAGAGAACCAGTGCAGTGCTATTGATCCTTTGTAATGGCAAGAGTTGTTATAATTCCTGCCATGGAGCACAGCACTTTCTGATTTATCTCAAATACCGCTAGATGTGGGCACTGTTTTTGCTGTTTTTCTGCTCCCATGGTGCTGTATACAATCCTTTCTTGTTGCTATTTAATGGATTTCCTATTGTCTGTTTCTGGAGGTGAGGAGGCAGCAAGTATGTTTATGTAGCATGTTGGTTATTTGGCAGAGTTGCTTCAACAATTTGAATTTTCACTTCTGGGTGCTTGTCAGACTGTCACTGTGGCCACTGATTTCATTTCACCTCTTATTTGCTTTCCCATGTGTTAAATTTATAATTATAAAGCAAGTAAGATTGTAAATGTGCTTAGTAGAGTGGAGAAAACACAAAGGAAAACTTGCCAACAAGGTCAGAGTTTGTAATAAAGGATTGATTTTTATTTCTTTTGATTATTGTATTTTGGAGAAAGAAGAGTTGGACAAGGACAAAAATATCATGGTTCATTTTAATTACCACTATTATTTTACATCTTTACTTGCACTGTTAATGGTGAGTTGCAGTATTATATACTATATTTCAAACTAAACTTTATTTAAGAACATAGCTAATGACACCATATCTCCAATTTGGTCTTTTAACGTAGACCTCCCTCATCAGTAATCCCATAATGGTGTTCTTGCCCAAAAAGTAATGTAGTGAGTGGATGTTGATACTGTTCAAATGACTGAAGGACTCTGAGGCCTCCCTGAACATGGGAAGTGGGGAAGATCCTTGGATTAGCTACTTCAGTGGGAATATCAGAATATCAGCCTTTTTAGGTGTAGATTCAAAAGGTAAGAGTTGAACAGCTGGGCACACTGCATCTTTGTTGTGCTGATGCATTTTCTCTATAGGACAGAGCAGGGTAGTTTCTCTGAGGTATTTTTCTGTATGTTCTTAGATTGTAATTGCCATATGTCAGTGGGACTTTGTCTCTTCCTACAAATCCTTGCAACACCTCAGAGGCAAAGGGAGTTTGAGGCTGTGGCACTAACACATCAACATGATCTGTTCTGTCACCCCACACTTAGGGGATGTGGATTGTAGAATCCCTGCAGAGAATTGATGATACTGAACATCTTTTGACTTCAGCAAATGACACAAATTGACTTTGCAAGCCATATGTGATTTTTGAACTGTGAGTAGGACCTTTAGACTTATTCTAGAGCTTTAACCAAACTTGAGATTCATCTGAAGACTTTTGTGTAAATATGTGAAGTTTAAGGTGTTTCTTAAATAAAGCATGAAATCTGAACATGCGTGACTGAGCAAGGAAGCCATAAAATACTACTAGTTCATATAGCCAGTACTTTAGTAGGTGTATGTGTGTTTGTGCACAGAGCACTTCCAACAGAGAAAGTTTACCTGGTTTTGAAGGTTACTACAAATC